AAAAACAAAATCAGCTGATTTCTCAAAAACCCCATTTTTTCCCGAACTATCTTTTTGTTAGCATGGAACCCAAATGTGATTATATTCTCCAAGAAAAAACATTGAAAAATTTTGAATCATTTAATGATTGGGCATTACAAATTTCCTGATAATTATTTTTTATATTTTATACGTTAACAATATTTAAAGATTTATAGGATAAATAATAACTTAATTTTTGGATAAAAATTTTATAGCTAAATTAAAAAGATAATTACAAATGGAAAGTTTAAAACATATTAATATATTAAAATGGTTTTTCATCAATTATTAGGAAAGCAATTTTTATGATTAAAAAAAACTAAAGAGTATCTTATGCCACTTGCATTAATATTACCATGTAGCAATTTTTTACTTTGAAAATATATAATATTCCCTCGTTTCAATTCCACTACCAGATTTATTTTTGGAAACACTAATTCACCTCCTTCAAATTCACCAAGGGTACAATTACACACAAACTGTTATTGAGATCATTAGCATCATAATGAAGATCTGTTAACATATTGAAATTGACAGCTAACATAGTAAATATATTGAACAGTTTTTTCACCTATAAAAAGTAGTAATAATAATATTAATATTGATTAAAACATTAATTACAAAAAAATTATATATATAGAAATATCAACCTGTTCTGGAAACACATTTGATACTGTCACCGATTAAATTTGGGAGAGTGTATTTTAATTGGTGATAACAATTATTTTTGTTTTTGCGTGGATCAGAATGAATAGGGATCAATGAATTGATTTTGGTATTAGCGAATAATTTTGTTTAAAGATAAAAGTTTTAAATAAAATATTTCTATTTTATTTATTAGTTTTATTTAGTTGAAACTAATTAACAAAATTTTCCTTAGTCGAAACTAATTTATTACCAAGTTAATCTTTATTATCAAACTTCAAGACAAAGTTACAAAGTTTTTCTTAGTCGAAACTAATTAACAAAGTTTTCTTAGTCAAAACTAATTTATTAACTTATTTCTAAGTTAATTTTTATTATGAAACTTTAAGACAAAGTTATTTTACAAGCAAGTCGAATTTGAGCTTCTTTTATACAATTAAATTAATTAGTAAAAACTTCATTGCAATCTAACATTTCTAGCCGCGACATCGCACTTTAATTGCGACGTAACATTCTAACCGCGATGCTAATTTCTAAATAAAGCTAACTAATTTCGACATTATACAAATAAAAATAAAAATGTAATACAAATAAAATAATAAAAATGTAAGTAAATATGAATAAAAATAAAATAAGAAATAAGATAAGGAATAATAAATGTAGATATAAAAATAAAATAAATAAAATAAAAATAGAAATAAAAGATTTGGTTTGGAATTAGGGTATTTCGACTAACAAATTAGCGTTAAATCCTAATTCTGGTAACAATACCAACTTTTGATACAAATTGGGCCAATGACTTTGTAATCTATCAGCAATATTGTTGGCAGGAGGTCAGTGTTGGAAATTCGTCGATCTTATGATCTGCAAAAAAAAATTTGTGCACATATGAACACAAGAAATTTTTATTT